TTTGGGTCAAGGGTTATTTAAAGAAATTGTCACGTAGGATAGGTTATTTGAAATTGTTTCTACTTTCATCTTCACTCGTCAGCATGATAGTCCATTTGGAAATCATCTTTCATAAATAGTTTTGCTCCAAGTAAATTGCTAAGCACAGACTCTCATTATCTATCGCAACTCCTTTTTGGACCGTTTTGCCCCTAGAGATTTTTAGCCGTGTTTTTTCTTGTAATTATGTTATAATTTAGAAATTATTATGTTAAAAATTGGAATTGATTTTCTTGTAAAATTTATTATTATTGTTTTAGAACTTATAAATTATTATGTTAAAATTAGAGTTGATTATCATATACAATTTATTTTTATTAGGTTATAATTTAAAATTACTACATTATAAATTAGAATTACATGTAAAATTTATTATTATTATTATTATGTTAGAACTTAGAAGTTATTACGTTATAAATTAGAATTGATTATCTTATAATATTTATCAATTCTAATTTATAACATAATAATCTCTAAATTTTAACATAATTTAAATAAAAAATTGATAAAAAAAAGAAAACAATCGGCCGATAATACTGGCCGCACAAGGTGGTCGTCGATGATTAGGCCAGCCGATCGCCGCCGAGCGCAGCCCCAATCATGGGCCGACCGAGAACGGTCCAGCCGGTATTGCCGGCCGTATGTTGTTTTTTTTTAAATAAAAAATTGCCAGTGGCAAAACAGTCTAAGGAGAGCGATGGGTAGTAAAAATTATTGCGGTGTTTAGTAACACCCAAATTTAATGGGAATATTTGTAATAGGTATAAACGTTATGGAAGTCGCAGGTGAGTCGCTAGATCCTATTGCACCTAGGCAGGGGACTAAGTGAGAACATATTAATAAATTTATGAGTAAAACATTGGTTCTAAATTGTACTATACATATTTTTGAGATTTTCATTTTAAAATATTTTTTTGTAAATACATTAGTTATTTGAACGCTCGTCTAAATCTTGACCATACATGTATTCTTTTTTGCGAATGACCGTCAAGAAGTAGACGAGCGTGCAAAAAATGAATGTATATGTAGTTCATGTTGCAATTTCCAAAAAAAAAAATAAATAAAAAACTATAAAAATTAGGTTGAAAATCTAGAAGCACGTATAGTACATGTTGAAATTATTATGATCGAATACAAAGATTATGTAAAATTCCAAGTCATTTATAATTATATTATTAATTGTGAAATAATTATTAATACTTTTGTTACATAACTAATATAAAATTCATGTGTAAAAATTAGAATTGTTTTTTTAACTATTTAAAAAGTAATTAAAAAATTAAAAAAAATAAATATATGGGCGCCTAGGTGCCGCCTAGTCCGCCTAAGCACGAGTACGTTCAAGCTGCATAGCCTACCTGGGCCCTGCCTAATTGTTGGAGTGCCTAGAACGGTCGCCTAGGCAAAAGTCGTAGCACCTAGGTGCCGCCTAGAGACTAGGCGTCGACTAAATGTGCGCGTATGCCAACTTTTAGTATAGAGATAGGTACACATAGTCGGGCCAGTTTGGTGCCCCTAAGATGAGAAATCGAATCCGCTCATTCCAAAACATAGAGACTCGATTCGGCTTGAGCCCAACCTGAATCAGCTATTCTATATATATATATATATATATATATATATAGAGAGAGAGAGAGAGAGAGAGAGAGAGTTAGGACCATATGAGAATGCTAGATAGTGAAAGAAATAAGAATGGTTGTGAACCATTAGATCCATCATATCAATGGTCATGATAGAGTCAAATATTAGTAATTATAGTCAAATTCATTAAGGTTAATTTAGTTATTTTATATTCATTAAGGGCAATATTGTAATTCAAATAACACCTACCTATCTACCTACTTTTATCTCTCTCACATAAATTCACGCACACACAAATCAGATTTTGTTTTTCTCCACAACTCACGCACACACACAGTTAACACACACCACATGCACACCTCCAACTCCGGTCCTCCTCTCCCATCCACCAACACGGTCGCTGACAAGATCGTCCGCCGCCAGCAACACGGTCATCTGTCATAGACCCTGCCACCGTCACCGATCCCGACGCCGGACCTGCCACTGTCGCCGACCTCAAACTTCCATCGCCGTTCTCCGCGCCATGAATTATCTCCGGCTACTTTCAATATTTGGAGATTTTGGACTTCGAGAATGCCTTTCCCGCCCACCGCACTTCAGCCCACCCCTACCACTCGCCGCGACACAAAATGCGTCCAGAACCGCACAAGGATAATCTTCGGTGATTGTAACAATTTAGAGAACGGGACTTGTTGGTATGGCTCATCAGCCCTTGTTGGGTTGGGTCAATTAGTTGGGCCGGGGGTGCGGGAGCAGAGCCCCGCGGTATGGTACGAGGTATTTAAGTAAATTTATACCTTGTAGGGTTATAGTATAAATACATAGTGTATTGGTGTATTTGAGACTATTGAGAGTAATAAAGATCCCTCAGCCATCGTGGACGTAGGAATATTGCCGAACCACATAAATCTTGTGTTGTTTACTTTTCTCGTTTTTTAATTCGTATGCCATATTGTCATCTTCTCTCAACAAGTGGTACCAGAGCCTAGTTGATTGGGCGACAGAGTTGACGGGAGGATCGAAATTTGAGGTCTCAAAATTTGATGGTCATGGAAATTTTGGATTATGGCAGACGAGAGTAAAAGATTTATTGGCGCAGCAAGGAATTCAGAAAGGGCTGCGCGCAGAAAAGCCTAAGGGGATGGAAGACGATGATTGGCAAGATCTGCAGGAATAGGCGGCCAGGACGACTCAGTTGTGCCTTGCAGATGAAGTTATGTATCACGTTATGCATCTCAAATCGGCGGATGAGATCTGGAAGAAACGTGAATCGCAGTTCATGTCGAAAACCCTAACGACAAAACTGTATATGAAGCAAAGGGTATATGGGCTGAAGATGCAGGAGGGGACCGATTTAGGGCAACATGTGAATATCTTCAATCATGTTGTCACGGATTTGGCTTCACTCGAAGTCAAGATTGAAGATTAATACAAGGCTATGATCTTACTGTGTTCGTTACCTCCTTCTTAAGAACATATGGTGGCTACCCTTACATATGGGAAAGAAACGATCAAGACTGAGGAGATTACTTCAGCGTTGTTGGCTCACAACCAGCAGAAACAGAAATCTAAAGAGTCATCTTCTCAAGTCTGCGAATGTGGTACAGAATGAGGAATCTGATTGCAGTGATGGAGATATGTTATCTATTTCGACTGTGCAGTATGATGATGCTTGGATTCTCAATTCTTAATGTTCATATCATATAACGCCTAACAAAGAGTGGTTTGCTAATCATAAACCAGGTAACTCGAGTTCTGTTTTTCTTGGTGATGATAGATGCTGCGGCATTGTCGGTATTGGGGATGTCAAAATCAAGATGTATGATGGAACTGTTAGGACATTATGTGATGTGAGACATATCCCTGAGTTGAAGAAGAATTTTATTTCTTTGGGTACTTTACATAGAAATGGTTTCATTCCCAAGGCTGATGAGGATAGAGAAACCATTGAAATTGTGAAAGGTGCCTTGATTGTGATGAAAGGGAGGATCACTGCAAGGAACATTTACAAACTGTTGGGAAGTACAGTTGTAGGTGGAGTCCATTCGGTGGAGTCGTGTGAAGATAGCACAAAATTGTGGCACATGCGTCTTGGACATCTTAGTGAACATGGCATGACTGAACTGCATAAGAGGGGGCTTCTGCATGGTGTTAAAACTTTCAAACTTAATTTCAGCAAGTTTTGTGTTCTGGGAAAGCAAACAAAAGTCAAATTCAAGACTGGGAAGAAGAAGACAAAAGGAATTCTGGATTATGTACATTCAGATGTGTGGGGTCCTACTAGAGTGACATCGATGGGTGGTTCTGTGTACTATGTGATCTTTATTGATGATTTTTCGAAGAAAGTTTGGGTGTATTAATTGAAGCATAAATCTGAAGTTTTTGCTAAATTCAAGCAATGGAAGGTTGGGGTGGAGAACCAGACTGGTAGGAAGATCAAGTACTTAAGGTCTGATAATGGTACAGAGTACACCGATTCACATTTCCAGAAGTTCTGTGAGGAGCATGGGATTCAAAGGCCTTTTACAGTGCGTAAAACACCACAACAGAATGGTATTTCAAAGAGGATGAATCGGACACTGGCTGAGGGCGAGGTGTTTAAGACTGAATGCGAGTTTGCCAAAGAGTTTCTGGGCTGAGGGTGTAAGTATGGCTTGTTATTTGATTAACAGATCACCACGTGCATCTCTGGATGGAAAAGTTGCAGAAGAAGTATGGACATATAATGATGTTAGTTTTGATCATCTGAAGATTTTTGGTTGTCCTGCTTATGTTCATATTCCTGCGGATGAGAGGTCAAAACTTGATGCTAAATCAAAGAAGTACACTTTTCTGGGCTATAAAAAAGGTGTGAAGGGATAAGTTTTGGGATCCAGTTGAGAAGAAGACGGTGATTAGTAGAGATGCAGTGTTTGATGAACAGTTTATGTTGGGATCAGATTCAGATAAGGTACAAGTGGAGTTGGAACATGTTCCAGCAGTTCTTGATAAGGGAGAGAGTTCGAGTTCTTCACCTGATGATGTTGATCATGATGTTTCTGGCCCAACTGATGTGCCAGAGAGCTACAAGTTAGCTCGGGATAGAGTGAGGCGTACCAATATACAAGCTCCGGTCAGGTTTGGTTATTAAGATATGGTGGCATTTGCTCTTACGATCACTAGTGTGGATCCTTGTACTTTCCAGGAGACTGTTTCTTGTGAGAATAATGATAGATGGAAGGCTGCCATGGAAGAAGAGATGAACTCTGTGCACAAGAATCAGACATGGGAGTTGGATGTTCTTCCCAAAGGGAAGAAAGCTATTGGCTGTTGGTGGATTTACACAAGGAAGTCATCGGTAACAGAAAAAGGAGGGTAAAGGTTCAATGCTCGATTGGTGGCTAAAGGATACTCACAGCAAAAGGGGATTGACTATGATGATACATTTTCCCCTGTGGTTAGACATACTTCGATCAGGGTTGTACTTGCATTGGTGGCTAGTTGGGATTTGCATTTGGAGTAGATGAATGTGAAGACTGCTTTCTTGCATGGTGATCTCGTAGAGCCTATTTACATGCAGCAGCCAGAGGGTTTTGTTCAACCAGGGAAAAAACATTTATTTTGTAGGTTGAAGAAATACTTGTATGGCTTGAAGCAAGCATCGCGGCAGTGGAATATACGATTTGATTCGTATATGCTGAAGATTGGCTACAAGCGTTCTGAGTTCGATTGTTGTGTTTACACTAAGAGCCTTGGTGATGGTTCTATTATTTTTTTGTTACTTTGTGTTGATGACAGGCTTATTGCTGCTAAGAATATGCATGATATTATTGATCTGAAAGGCCTTTTGAGTCAAGAATTTGAGATGAAGGATTTGGGGGTTGCGAAAAAAATTCTTGGGATGGAGATTCGCAGGGATAGAGGATCAAAGAAGCTGTGGTTATCTCAGAAGGGTTATGTGGAGAAGGTGCTGCAGAGGTTTGGGATGAATGAAGCAAAACCAGTGGGCACTCCATTAGCAAACCACTTCAAGCTTTCTGTTGATATGCGCCCCAAGTCGGACAAGGAGACTCAGGATATGGTAGAGATACCTTATGCCATTGTTGTTGGATGTCTGATGTATTCCATGGTATGTACTCGTCCTGATTTAGCTCATGTTGTTGGTCAAGTTTGCAAGTAAATGTCTAGGCCGGGTAAACAACATTGAGAGGCAGTCAAATGGATTTTCAGATATTTAAAAGGTACTGCGGGTCATGGTATTGTGTTTTGAGATCAGCTGTTGTATCCTTTGGTTGTAGGATATGTGGATTCTGATTATGCTGGGGACTTGGATAATAAGAGATCTACCACTGGGTATGTCTTCACTCTTTGTGGAGGGCCTATTTGTTGGAGATCGAATACTCAGCCTATAGTTGCTCTATCTACAATTGAAGCTGAGTATATTGCTTTGGTTGAAGGGGCAAAAGAAGCAGTGTGGCTTGTTGGATTGGTTAGAGAGTTGGGTATTCAGCAAGGTGGAGTTTTAGTACATTGTGACAGTCAGAGTGCCATTCATTTGGCTAAGAATCAGATATATCATGCTAGGACGAAGCATATTGATGTGAGGTTCCACAAGATTAGGGAATGAATTGCTTCTGGTGATATTCAGTTGGAGAAAGTTCATACTGAAGAGAATGCTGCTGATATGTTGACTAAGACTGTTACTTCTAACAAATTCAAGCATTGCTTGGAATTGTAGAATGTTTCTGCATGCTAGAGTTGCATGGTACCCCCGGCCTGCTTGGTGTGTCTCGCAGAGGTGCTCGCTATTGTGTTCTCTTAAGGAGGTGATATATTTGCCAAGGTGGAGATTTGTTGGTATGGCTCATATATTGACATCGGAAGGAGGCAGGCTGATGCCTGCGAGCGTAACGGAGCGAACATAGCGAACGTAGCGAACGTAGCGAACATAGCGAACGTAGCGAGGGAAGCGGAGCGACCAAGCGAAGTGAGCGGAGTGGAGTGATTAGTTGGGCTGGGGGTGCGGTGGCGGAGCCCCCGCGGTATAGACGGGGGTGCGGGGACATAGCGCCGCGGTACGGTATGGGGTATTTAAGTAAATTTATACCTTGTAGGGTTATAGTATAAATACATGGTGTATTGATGTATTTGAGACTATTGAGAATAATAAAGATCCCTCAGCCGCAGTGGACGTAGGCATATTGCCGAACCACTTAAATCTTGTGTTGTTTACTTTTCTCTTTTTTTAATTCCTATGCCATATTGTCATCTTCTCTCAACAACTTTGAGAACGCCGATGTCCGGATGAGAATCGATTTGTGGGCTGAGATTGGTTGTGCGATTTTCTGATTTAGAGGCTAGTTTTTTGGTTGGGGGACTTTAATTGGAGAATTTGATATGTTTAAGGGGTCAAATTGCAATTCTTTTATGTTTTAATTTATTTTCCTTTTAGTACATGTGGCAAATTGATGATTTAATAAAAGTTCTAAGACCTAATGGAAATTGTATTATTTTAATATATTACTATTTTGCACTACATCTTGCTTTAAACCGAGCGGTACCGGGTTTTGTGTTCCAAAATTTTATTAATAAACCATCATTTAGCAAATATTATTTCTTACCAAAGATTTATTTTAATCCATCACTCAGAAAATATCATTTATTTCAGCAACAAATTAAAAGCAATTGTTCGGAAACCAAACATATTACTAAAGATACATTATTCCAAATTTGGAACTAACTGATATTAAAAATGAAAAGTAATAATATTATTTTTACATAATTTATACAGTTGGTTAGTTCGACTATTTTAATTAATAAAAAAAAATCGACATCAAACTGAAATAAAGGATTTTTAAAAGTAAAGAATAATAATCGAACCGAAAATATTAATTTTGTTGTTTCATTCGATATTGTGCATTCTATTAGTCATTAATGTGCAATTTGTAGGACCATAATGTGCACTCGCAATACATAAATATATATAATATATTTTTTATACACTTCGTTAATTTAAGTTATATTGATTAGTTTTAAAAAATAAATCCGACATTAAACTGAAATAATCGTGATTTTGAAAGTAAAAATAATTTATTAAACCGAAATAAAATTTTGAATCGAAAACTCAAATTCGGTCGGTTTTGCTTTCTCTATCTATTGTGCAATCTGCTAGTCACGATAAAGTGCAACGTCTTATTTTATAAAGTGCAACGTGCTTTTTTTTATAAAGTGCAACGTGTTGATATATAAAGTGCACTACTGTAATTTTGGTACGTTAGTATTCTTGTGTTTTTTTATGGACAAATGATATGATGGATGCTAAAATATATGTATCTCCATATTTAAATTTATCTTGTGTTGTATTTTGGTGGGAGCCATTGTCTATTTTTTTATATTAATGTTGCGTGGTATTTTGGAGGAAGTTATAGTCGTTGATTGTTGTTGTGTTGTATTTTGGTGGGAGTTATTGTTCGTTTTTTTAGATTTATGTTGCGTGGTATTTTGGATGAAGCTATTAAAGTTAATTGTGGAGTGTGGTGATAAAGTGCACCGTGTTGTTTTATAAAGGGCAACGTGTTGTATTATAAAGTGCGTCGTGTTGTTTTAAAAAGTGCAGCGTGTTGTTATATAAAATGCACTACTTTATATATGTTGCGTGGTATTTGGATGAAGCTATTAACGTTAATTGTGGTGTGTGGTGATAAAGTGCACCGTGTTGTTTTATAAAGTGCAACGTGTTGTATTATACAGTGCGACGTGTTGTTTCAAAAAGTACGGCGTGCTGTTATATAAAATGCACTACTTTATGTAATCTCAAATAAATTTATATATTCAAAAACTAATTTGTCCCGATTTCTTCTTCTCTGATTCTATGTTCTCCCCATCTATTTCATCCTGTTTTCAATTTCGTATTTGATCTCCTTCTTTATTGTCTTTCGATCGATTGTAGTTTCTCTGGGGTTGTCATGGCGGACTTCGACCAGGAGCTTTCAGATCGTCTTAACAAGGTAGCTCTCTCTGTCAACGAAGAAAAAATCTTTGATATAGCTCAAAATGACATTAAACTCAGTGATGATGAATGCAATCGAAGCCTCTTTGGTAAAATAATCGGGGTAGGACAGCAAGCTGGATTGGTATAAAACGAGCAATGTCTCAGATCTGGAAGCTTAATCAAGCTATGGAAGTGAAAGAACTCTGCCCAAATTATTTTCAATTTATCTTTCAAAACCGGGATGACATGAAGAAGGTGGCTAGTGGCACAAATTGGAGCTTCGAGAACCAGTACCTTGTTTTGAAAGAATGGGAGGCGAGTATCAACAGCAAGCACCCTAGTTTTCGTGAGCTGAATATTTGGGTACAGGTACAAAACATTCCTCTAAATTGAATCAGTACGGAAGTGGGGCTCAAGATAGGCCAGGCTTTTCACAAAATCAAGAATGTGGTTATTGCTACTACAGGGAGTCATGGTGGTAAAATTCTAAAGCTCTTAGTCACTCTTAATGTGGAAGAATCTATCCCTCGTATGGCTAAAGTGAGGCTGGGAAATCAGTTAGTGATTGTTGGCTTTAAATACGAGAAACTCATCAACCTCTGTCATTATTGTGGGAAAATTGGTCACTTGGATAGAGCATGTCACATAAAAATGGATGATATCCGAAATAATTCTCTCCAGGAAGAACAGTATGGTGATTGGTTAAGAGCTCCTGATGGTGTTAAATGGAATCCTTCCAGTCTTTCAGGCTCTAGATCATCTCCACCTCCAGAATCTCCATCTCCCTCAGATAATAATATATCCCAAAAAGCTTCTTCAAGTCAAGGCCCTGCTAATAATCAAATAATCCCCAGCACTGGGATTAATGAATCACCAGCTCGGTCAATGGGAGCACTTTCTGTAGTCTCAGCTTCTGGTAATGCTGCAGAGCTGAGGGACCTAGAAGAAGCTAACTTGCAAATTGTGGATGCTAACCCGATGGATCTTGAAAAAGGAGAGTCAACTCCAATCTCGGAGTTTACTGTTCATCATGAGTCTCTCCCAGCTTCCCAACTTCACCCTCTAAAATCATGGAAAAGAACAGGTTCAAGAATGGGCAGACTTCTCAGAACCAATGATTCTCCTATTATTATTGACCAGCTGTCCAAGGGCAAAAGAAACATGCAAGCTGTGGAATCATCTGAACAACCTGAGGATCATAATGCTCAATCTCTCGCTTAATTCAAAAAACAAAAAGCTGATATGGAAAAGGTAGGGGTGGCCAGCCTTGAATGGCCCCACCCTGATAAATGTTAGCTCTGGTGTGGAATTGTAGAGGGCTGGGTGGGCCCTCTACAATTTCCCAAATCAGAGAGCTCAAGAAAGCTCATCACCCCAATTTTATCTTTCTTTCAGAAACAAAAAAACCAAATGCTTAGGTTAAGTCTGTTTGTAACAAGTTAGGTTTTGTTAATAGGATGGCTATTGTAGACCCTTCAGGTCTTAGTGGGGGTCTTGTTTTGTTATGGGATTCTCATGTTGTTATTAATCAGTTTATCTGTAAAAACTTTTTTATTGCTGTTGAATTCCAGCTGCAATCCCAGCCCTCTCAAAGGGGTGTTTTTGTTTATCTTAGTCCTCTCAGACTGACTAGAGAATCTCAATGGGAGGAATTGATTGCTGCCAAAGCTCAATGGGGTTCTCTTTGGTTTTCAATTGGTGACTGGAATGATATCCTCTCTAACTCTGAAAAAGCTGGAGGATCCAACAGACCTGCTCACAGTCTCATGGGTTTCAACTCCTTTGTCTCTGATATGAGTATGCTGGAAGTAAATTCTATTGGTTATGCTTTCACTTGGAGTAACAACAGAGCCATGCCTGCCCTTATAGAGGAAAAGTTGGATAGAGCTTTCTGCTCTCTTGATTGGTCTCACTCATATCCCAATGCACCAGTTACCAATATTCTCAGAAGTTCATCAGACCATGCTGCCCTTCTCTTAAACATTGGCCCTCCTGCCTTGAAAAGAAAAGCTCCCTTCCAATTTGATAAAAGATGGTTGAGTATGGATGGATTTAATGAAGTAGTGACTACTGCTTGGAGTACTCCAGTGTCAGGTACTCCTCTCTTCCAACTAAAAGAAAAGGTCAAGCATACCAGGATTGCTATTCTCATATGGAGCTCATCCAATCTATCCTCAAGGCAACAAGAA